TGTTGCACCCTCTCATCATCCCCCCTTCATCCTTCCTTTCTGGCCAACCCATACTTACCCCCACCCTTTCCTCCTGTGAGCTCAGAGGACTCGCCGAGTCCCTTCCTCCCGCTCATCCTCACCAAAGGAGAGACAAGAGGGCCTTCTTGAATTGCGGTGCTGGAGGAGGCTCTTGAGAGTCCCCTGGACTGCAAGGAGAGCAAACCTATCCAAAGGAAATCAACCCTGAGTGCTCCCTGGAAGGACAGATCCTGAAGCTCGTTGAAGTGAACAACATGAATCTGACCAAACTCCAGGAGGCAGTGGAAGACGGAAGGGCCTGGTGTGCTCTGGTCCATGGAGTCATGAAGAGTCGGACACGACTGAATGACTAAACAACAAAAGTGGACAAAAAGAAAGGGATATGGACTAAAGTTAAAGGAAGCCAGATTTTGGTTGAAGATCAGGAAAAACTTCTGACTGTTAGAACAGTACAAGGGAACTGGTGACCTCAGGAGGGAGTGAGCACTCCAGTGCTGGAGGCATTCAAAAGAAAATTGGGCCACCATCTCTCAGATCTGCTGTATCCCTGCACTGAGCAGGGTGTGGCCTTAGAGGCCCCTGCCCAACTCCATGATTCTGTGATTGTTTATTGTATGGCATTTCTTTGATCCTCTTTAGTGTTGTATGCACACCTTAGTAAGCTTTAATATTGTCATTTAATTATGTAAGCCACCTTGGATCCTTCTTAAGAAAGGAGGGGTATGCATGCATGAATGAAAGAATTAATGAATTAATTAATAAAAGTATTAATAAAAGCAAGCAAGCAGTAGGGGAGTTTTCCAGACTGAATAACTTCCAAACTTGGTTTTTCTAATTCTCTGCCTCCCATTCCTGGACTCGGCCTTCTTTCAATTCTTCAACCCATTTCTCAACCCCTGGATGGCCGCCGACGTTTGCTGTAAGAAACCACCTTTATATACAGTAGATTGACTGTTGCCTGGACGGGTGGCGTTTCCAGCTGCGTGGGAGCCCTGAGCCGGAGAGAAAGGAACCATGTCCAGGACTTACCAACCTTTTGCTCTGAGAGCAGCTTCTTTTATTCAAGAGGACAACCTGTTGCCCCCCCACACACACACACACGCACGCACACACACAAAGGCCACACCTCACGAGAGGACTGCCTACTTCTTGCGCAGGAAAAGGAAGAGGCCGAATCCTCGCCAGCAGCAGGCAGAGAGGAAAGGTTCCCTACACACGCACACACAGACACATACCCCTCTCCCCGACGGTCTCTCCTGCCAAGCGGCCCCTGCCGTATGTAACGTACCGGAGTGAAAGGGGCTTTTGGCCCCGAGGAGGCGTTGGCCCTTCGAAAGACCAGCTGCTCCTCCGTCCAGAAGGGCTGGTCAAGCTCCCGGCCTCCTCGGAGTGGGCAGTGGAGAGCCGGTCAAACCGGTGCCTCCAAATTCTCTCCCCCACCTGCTAGCACAGCTCTTGCCCCGAAGAAGGGGTGGCCTCTGCCCATGTTCAGAGGGCCCCCGAACATTCCCCGGGCTGTCCCTCCCTCCAGCCTTGCGGCCTGGAGGGGCGGATGATGCACGTTGTTGTCCCGCCCCGGTGAGCTCGGCCGTTCCCTTTTAGGGCCTCCGGGGGAGCTGACTTTCGGTTCGGATCGTCGGCAAAGAGCCTGGAGGGGGCGGTCGAGACGGAGCGAAGCGAATCCAGCCGGCAAAGGAGGCGCCGCTGCTCCTCGGGGGTCCCTCGGGGCCAAGAGGGCGGCTCCCCCCGGTTTGGGACACCGCCTCTCCGTGTCCCGAGCCCCCCGTCCCGTCCCGTCCCGTGTCTCGCCCACCCCTCGGGAGAGGGGGACTCCGCCCGTGCTCGGAGGCGCTGGATCTTGACCTCGAGCAAAGGCACCGAGCCGGGAAGGTCTCCGCCCCGCGGCCGCCGCCGCCGCCCACTGGAGAAGGGGAGGTGGTGGTGGTTTCGCTTTCTCTTCCCTCCGAGGAAGAAGCCGGAGGTCTGGCGCCGGTGGTGCCTCGAGAGCCCCGATCTGGAGAGCCGCCA